CTCCGTCAATTATGCTAAGCTGAGGGGGAGAATTTTATGAACTGTACTCTTTTTCCCTTGATCAGGTTTTTATCCCACTGGGTTTTTTCTGACAAGGTTTTTAACGAGGCAGTACATAAAATTAGAATGGGTTCCTAAACTATACCCATTTCACGAAGTACCCATCATTAATTGAAAAATGAACATTCAAGGGGGAGTGTTATGAAAATAATGATTGTTCATTTATTCAATTAATCAGGCCTATTTTCTAGAATAGTAGATTAAGACAACCATTGATGAGTATCAATTATGTACAGTACTTCCCACTTGTATTTGTATTCATACCAAGCCTCTCCACTATAAATAGAGGTTTAATCCCTGCATTGTAATCACAATTAAGAATAAGAGAAGAGTGAAGAGTTAATAGAGAGAAGAAATCAGAAATATATTAAATCTATTATCTTAATCTCTGAGTAGTTTTTCTCTCATTTTATAACAATGCACAAATTAACCTTTGAAATTTCATTTTTGTGCCGATTTTTTAATTTCCTCACCGAAAGTGGAAGCGCCCCACAGTTCATCCAAAACCCCTTTCACTCCCTTCTTCTTCTTCTTCTCTTCTTCATTCACATCGCCTCTCCGTCAAATTCCTTGTCGGCATACCATACACAATCCAAATCTTCAATCTTCCAACACCTCTACTCCGTTTGTGTCTCCGGTTCGTTGCAGCTCCGCGAAGAAATCTACATTTTTCCCTGGTAAACGCCCGGTGCAGGCTCTTCATATGCTGAATATTTGCTTCCATTGATATCATACTTATCAGCTATGGTTCAGTTTTTCTTCCGATCCGGAGTTCTCTGTTAATCTCTTTTGTGTGCATCTGTTATTTACATGTTATATCGTGTCAATGGAATGAATACCTGGAATTGAAGGTTAGGTTTTGAAATTGAATCAAACTAACATTCTATCATGTGCCCATCTTGCATTATGCTCCTTTTCGTTCGGGCAAAACTTAAGTAAACTGTAAAAGTGGCGAGTTTGTCTGTACTAAGTATCATTCACAAGGTGATGAACAATCCGTGTTTGGATGGACGTTCTATAACTTAATTACATGTTAGGAAAAAATCAACATCCGAGAACCCAGATTCGGTGTTTTCCGGAAATTGTTTTTCAGAGGTGAACCCACATTATCCTAAAACTTTGTTTCATGTAATCGAAGTACTCTTCAAACTAAGCGAACACCAGTTCACACTAACCAAACAGAGGCTCATAGCTATAAACAATCCTGTCTATGAACTTATGATGCAGCATTTACCTGTTTTAAAATTCTCTTGCCTTTGAGTGGGCTAGTAATTCAGCTCATTTAAACTGTGGTAGTATTTCTTATTGGACCTTTATGATTTTTTGCTTATTGTCCATAGGGTAAAAATGGGTAAAAAAGCTAAGAAGAAGGCTAGAAGTGGCCACAATGAGAAACAGGTTCATGTTTCATCTCCTATGCATGTTTCTCATCAGAGTAAAAGCATTAGCAATTTTCAGAAAGGTGGAGTTGCAGTTGTTGAAGAGGAAAAAACATGCCCCCATGTTGATAAGAAACTTAATCTTGAAAAGGTTTCTGCAAAAGTGGGATCTTCAGAATCAATTAGGTGTGAAGAATGCATGGGTGAGGGCGTTGATAATCAGTCATCTAAAGGGAAGACAAAGCACACAAAAAAGAAGGTAAGCACGGATAAAGCTATATGGGTTTGCTTAGAATGTGGTCGTTTTTCATGTGGGGGTGTTGGTTTGCCTACTACACCTCAAAGCCATGCAGTTCGGCATTCAAAGAAATATCGTCATTCACTGGCTGTCCAATATGAAAATTCCAACCTAATTTGGTGTTTCCCATGCAATAAACTGATTCCTTGCAATAAAACATATGACAGTGCTGAACACAAAAAGGTAATACATGACATTGTGAACCTAATCAAAGGAACACAGCCTGAAGTTAAAAATGTATGTGTTGATAATGTGTTTTCTTCAAGTGGTAGTGGAAGTATCAGGAGTTATGTCATATCAAAACAATCTGCTTTGGTTGGGTTGGATGGTAAGTCTGGGTATTCTGTCAGAGGATTTATTAATTTAGGGAATACTTGTTTCTTTAATTCAGTAATGCAGAATCTTATGACAATTAGTAAGTTGCGGGAACAGTTTATCGGGATGGATGGTTTTCCTGGTCCTCTTACTGCTGCCATGAAAAAGCTCTTCATGGAGACACACCCTGAAACTGGTTTGAGGGGCGCTGTTGTAAATCCAAAATCTGTTTATAGTTCGATATGCTCTAAGTTTCCTCAATTTCGAGGATACCAGCAACAAGATAGTCATGAGTTGCTTCGATGTTTGCTTGACGGTTTATGTACTGAAGAACTGGCTGGAAGTGGAAGAACGAAAAATGCCTCCAAAGAAGATCCCACCTTAATTAGTTCTATCTTTGGGGGGCAACTTTCAAGTACTGTTAGTTGTCTAGAATGTGGGCACTCCTCAGTAGTATATGAACCATTCTTAGATCTGTCATTGCCAGTTCCAACTAAGAGGCCACCGTCCAAGAAATCCCAAATAGTGACTCGACCAAAAAAATCAAAGCTTCCCCCAAAGAAAAGTGGCAGGATTAGTACAAGAGCCAGCAAATATATAATCTCTCAGCCTGCTCAGAGTGCTCCAGAATCTGCAATGGTTTCTCTAAGAGATGCATCATTAGATTCCCTTGATGTTAGTACTTTGGCTGATGACATGGGTTTATTTAGCTCAGCCACTCAGGGTTCTGGAAATGATACAATGATTGAAGCAGGAACTTTAAACCACACAGATGAGTCAACATGGTTGGATTATATCGAGCCAGAAACATTGCCTACTTATGAAGTTTCACCTTTGCACAGTGATGAATATTCCAATAATAAGTATTTTGGGGATGGAAGTTTTGTTCAGCATGATGTCTCATTGCAACAGAATTCAGAAACTGATTTGGAGATTGCTTCCCCATATAGAGATGTAACATCTTCTTCAGACAATTTGGCAAGCTCGAATAATCTAGAGCAAAATGAAGTGTTATGTGCAACTCAAGCTCACGATATGGAAATTAATCCCTCCTCTACAACTCATTGTGAAGATGATATACCGTTGCAGGTACATGATTCAAAAGTAATCTTTCTTCCATACAAAGAAGAAAGCACATCTTCATTTGAGGTACCAAAAGGAGAAAGTGAGGTTTTGTCAGTAGCTGGTTGTGAACAAGATGTGGATCTTGATTGCTTTGGGGGCTTATTTGATGAACCCGAGGAGACGACTGCAGGTTGTTCTGTAAAGCCCTCATCAAACAGTGACTCTGATCCAGACGAGGTTGATAACAGTAATTCTACTGTATCAGTGGAGAGTTGTTTAGCTTATTTCACAAAACCTGAAAATCTAACCATAAGTGACCATGCCTGGAAGTGCGAAAATTGTTCAAAAGTTCTTCTAGAACAAAAGAAGCGAGAGAGGGTTGCAGATGGATATGGGGATATGCTCGATGGTGAGTTGAATGACCATAGATATAATGACAATGACACCTGCAGCTCTAGTAGTGAACAATTTGATAGATCACATAGCACTGAAATTATGGAGGGGAATCACTCTATATCCCAAAAATCTAAGCCAGATGGAACTGTGGATGCGGAGACAGATTCTGAAACTGTCAAAGTAGAAAGAGATGCAACAAAGAGGATCCTCATTGATAAACCCCCTCGAGTTTTGACTATTCATTTGAAGAGATTCAACCAAGATGCTCGAGGGCGGCTAAGTAAACTGAATGGCCATGTTTATTTTAAAGATACACTTGATCTCAAACCCTATATTCATCCCAGGTATGTTAAGTCATAAGTGTTGTTGCTGTTGTCCTTGTATGTAGTGTTAGGCTTCTTGCTTCTTGATCACACAAGGCTTGGAACTTAGTACTAAATAGCAGCTAAGAATTTAATTTTCTAACATTTTAATATGAGTTTGAGAGGAAAAGAAAAGTGAGTAGAAAATAAACTGTGAAGGGGAAAACCAAATTTCATTCCTATATGGTGAGGAAGAGAGAAATCTTGTCAATAGCAACCAATTTGGCGCTTAACTTCTCTCCTTGTACTCTCTTCAATCCATTTTGCTCTACTCCTCCCTCTTTTTAGTCATGTATTCTCACCAAAACTCATCAAAGGAAGATATTTTCTTTACCATTTTTCTCTGATAACCAAACAAAACCAGGATTTTGGATTCCTTCCATTTTTTTCATTTCTTTAATATCTTTCTTTCTTTCCAAAATCCTCAAACCATACATAACATTAGGACTTTGGGTTCACAGTAGAATGTTTTGGAATGCTTTAAGGGAAATATGAAACCCTCATACTAGTTATCTTTCTAAAAATAATATCTCCCACCAGTTCAAGGTTCTTGATCTATATATTTGAAAAACTGAGTCCAAGAAGCAAAAAGTTTGGAAGATTGTGCTTTATTTAATCCTTAACACACTGCTTGGTTCAAGGAATTCAGAAGGAAAAAAAAGAAAATGGTATGGATTTATCAACATACAAATTCTTTAGGTGTGGTTGTACTTTTGAAGAAGGTGACATGAAGGTGGTTGTTCTTGTTTTTCATTTTATGGTCATTCGATGCACAATTCATGGTTTCATTTGCCTAAATCAAGGGACATATCAAGTATAATAAAAGGGTTAAGGCACAAAAGTACTCGTGAACTATATGATGTCATGTTACTTGTCCTAGGGTTCCTAATATAGAGGGTGTTTGGGGTTGCGTTTAAAAACTGCTTATGAGCTTTTGCTTCATTAAAATACTATTTTTTCGTGTTTGCCAATCTTCTTTAGCTTATAGATTATTACTTATGCAGTCTAAAATGGGCTCCAAAAGTGCTTTTAAGCAAAGTTAGAAATTTATAGTTTCTGCTTCTACTTAAAACTTGTACTTTTTCAACAATTTGCCACACTCCCAAACACCCTCTTAGTATAATGCCCTCTCTGAATTGCTTTTGGTGATGCATGTGGCAGACACCCGGAGTGTGGGACCCACAAATATCAGCTGCTCGGGGTGGTGGAACATTCCGGGACAATGCGTGGAGGGCATTACGTTGCATACGTAAGAGGAGGCAGAAGCGGAGAGTCGGTATGGTATTATGCGAGCGATGCTCACGTGAGCCAGGTTTCTTTGGAACAAGTTCTTCGCTCTGAGGCATATATTCTGTTTTATGAAGAGATGTGAGATGAGTATTATATACCCAAGTTTCATATTCATTGATTGTTTCTATAATTCTATCATTTACTTAGAGAGGGGTGTATACAACACACATTCAGTGTTTTTGCCCATTTTTGTCCAGAAATTTTGTTGCTTATTTAGCAATGAGCCTAAAGATGTATTATACCTGTAGAAGTTGTTGAATATGAACACAAGTGAAAGAGCTTAATTTCTATTTTAATGCCATTCAAATTTTTGGACGGTTTTTGATTAATTAAAAATATTTTATGACATCACGTGTCATTCTATTTACTACTTTTAACTGTTGATGCTCTAAAAAGCCAAATAAGCTCCTATCCATTTTTTCCTCGAGTACTCTTTCTCATTTTTGTTAACTGCATAATTGTTCTTCATTAATTTCACTTTTGCTCCATCTCGATGCATTTTTAGGAGGTGTATTCAATATGGATTTTGATGGATTTTTTTTGAATTTTAAAAATCAGTGGGTATTCAATTAAGATTTTAAAAAATCATTTAAAATCTAGATGTATTCAATTGAGATTTTGAAAAATTTTTAAAAATCTAATGGTATTTAAAAATTAATACGGAGTAGATTTTAAAGAGTCTAATTCTTTTCCATGAACAAAGTCTTTCTAATTCTAGGTTCACTATAATCCAAGCACCTTTGATGGCTAAACTTTGGGGATTATGAGCGATTTTTGTACCTCTTTCAAGGTATGAAAGTGGATTTCATATCCATTTGAATTTTCATTAGATTTGAGGATTTATGGAGAATACGAAGTCACTATTCATGGTGTGTATTTGGAGCACAAATTGCACTGAGGAAGCCAAAGTATTTGTGGGGATGTATTATAAAAATCTCTTAAAATCTTATAAAATCTTTCTCATAAAATACAATACAATCTATCGAACTCTGCGCAGGTTTAAAACAATTCATGAATTTTACAAAATTCATAAATTTTAAATAATCTATCAGAATATGTTAAAATCAGGATTGAATACACCCTCCTTAGTTTTTTTACTGCTTTGAAAAAATTTGTATTTATTCACAGCAATATCGATGGAAAATTGTGCTTCATCTTCACAATCGCAAATTTTTACATTCTCTCGGGTTCACACTTTTTATATATATATAAATCTGTGTATGAAAACTACTAGAAAATTGAACTGTTTGCAAAAAAAATACGAGTATAAGTTGGCTCAGGCAGAAGTCATTAAGAGGGTGTATCTACGAGCTCTTTTGTTTGACATGTCAACTTCTGATTTTTGTCGCCACTATTTTCTGTATAGAACATTGTTTTAGAGAAGTAGATATACGATGTCTTTGCACTCAACTCTTGCATTTTCCTAAAATGATAGCAGTACTTAAAAAAAATCGCTTTACCTGGGAGTTATAATCACTTTGTTTATCTTTTACAGGGAAACATTGTGATCAAACGCCTTTTGTTTGATCACACATTTCCCAGGTTGTCTTACAATGTAAATCTGGTCCCTACCACCAGCATTTCCGTACATGTCTTGGTTCCTATGCCACGTCCACAGCGCGTGCGTCTCATTCATCACCTCCAATATCCCATGCCCAAAGCTGCTCTCTCTGTACGCGCTGAACTCGGGCTGTCGGTCCCAACAGAACCTGCCCGCAGCCGGACCGGACGTGAAGTTATATGCGCAAAACCCGCCCACGAACTCGTCCGAGGTGGCCCGCGGGTCTGGGCAGTTACCCGGTTCGTCGGCGTGGGAAATTGCCATCTTCTCTCTGTTCCCACCATCACCAATGGTTATGTATACAGGTCCACATGGATCCAAGCTGTAGTTGAACACTCTGTTTGACCTCTCATATGCATGAACCTGCAAAATAATATATATGATCCGGGTTCTTTTTGGAAATAGTCTTTCTATTACCTAATGGGAGAAAACGAATAGATCCTTATGAAATATCCCTAGATACGACGAGTAAATTGTCATCAAAATATCAAAATAGGAGTGCACAGTTTTTATTCCCTAAATAAGAGTGTGAATGATGGTAGTGCGATGATAATATAGCAGTGTAAACAGTGGTAGACTGGTAGTGCAATGGAGTATGGTGGCAGTGTGGTAGTGGACCACTAGTCAACGGTGGTTGACCACCGGTCAACGATGCTCAACGCTCGCCACCGGTGGTGGTGCTCTGGCGACCCACGACGCTGCTCCAGTGGCAGTGTGGTGTGGCAGCATGCAGTCTGGGAGTGGCAATGTGAATTCCTATTTTGATATTTTCAACTCTCTTTTACTCCTATTTAGGTATCCTGGATACTTACGTGGCCATTAAAGACTAGATCAACTCGAGCATTGTACAACAATTCCTCCATTGCCACCCTCATGCATTCAGCTTCCCTGTAATGAGCAGTGTAAGACGAGTACCAAGGCGCATGCCACGTGGCAATGAGCCAAGGTGTGATTTTCCGGTCCACCTTCGCCAGATCTCTCTCCAACCACTTGTATTGATCGTCTGAAACAAACAAACAAAACAACAAACAAACAAGCGTATAAGCAATGGCAACCTGAAGCTAGAAAAAATTTGTGGGAATTAAGAGTGAGTTATGGGTGCGCAACAAAACCTGTCTTGTTATAAGCAACATAAGAACCAAGCATCACAAAATGAATGCCTCCAGCATTGAAGGAGTAATAGAATGGAGATGAAGACCCACTTTCTTTGGAAGGGAAGGCGAATCGAGAACTATATGCCGCAAATGTCTTGTTTCCTACCTGTTTTTCAATCTCATGGTTTCCTTCCACTACCATCATTGGAACTCTAGACACCAATGGCTGCATATATCTGTCCAAAAACATATATACCTTTCAGAATGGAATGGTTAAAATGAGTAATAAAGATTTGAAAACCAAAAAAAAAGGATCAAGGAGAGATAGTTTTTTTTTACCTTCCCCAGTAATCCCAACGCGGCTGGTACGTCTCGTGTATGGGACTATTTGGGAAAGAGCAAGAATAGCAATCGGAGCCGGTTCCATTGGTGAGATACAAATTAGCATAGCTCACATCTCCAACCAATACGACAAGATCGGCATCGTTTCTCATCAAATGACCGATGGTTGATGTGGTGTTGTATGTTAGTCCAAGGTCTCCCACAAGAGCTATCCTTCTGGGATAGCTCCAGGGACTAGAAATTGGCATCGTCTTGAAATGATAGACTTCGCTCGTAGCATTTAACAAAGGATCTCCGCATTGGTAATAGTACATTGTGTTTGGTTCCAATTCTGCAACAGATTATGTACGCTATAACAACAACAACAACAATAACGACAACAAACCCAGTAAAACCCTACAAGTAGGTTACAAATGGGCACTAGCAAATGGACCCAAAGCATAGAAACTCCAAAAACAGACCCCAACATAAACTAAGAAATAAGGCCTAAAGGTCTACACAACTAATCTAGTCCTAGATCTCCAGACGTTCCTATCGAAGGTCGTATCCTGTCCTATCCAAGGCTGTATAAAAAAAACAAACCAATGTAGAAATAATGAGAGAAGACAAATGAATTAATATATACCTGTGAGTTGGACATGGTGTATGATCCCAGAGGTGTAGTTCTGAAGGCCAACAAAGGGATAGAGTTGGCTGTAAATAAGGGATTGGCCTGTGGCATTGTGATCCAAATTGGACTTTTCTTTTCCATATTGAACAACACTTGCAACAGTGCTTGGATCATATGGTTTGATGTTTTCACCCATTTGAAACTCTCCTGTATTACCAGGTCAATATGGCATTGTACAAAGAAAGAATTTTTTTTTTCAGAAAAAGAGGAAGTTTTCAACAAAAAAAAAATGTATAATGATGATACCATACCTGTGACCCAAGAAACCCAAATGGAATGATGAGCAAAAGAGAGGGAAAGAGAGATTTGCTCAGGCTCCCAACCTGTGACAGTCCTCTGAACTCTGGGGTCATTGTCCGGCAAATCAATGGCATGCCCTCTACCTGTTTGATCCAATGCCACAGTGACTGGCTTGAATGGCTCTTCCGCAGTGCTTGGAATTCCATCACTCCTCACGGCGGCCAAGCTCATCACCACCGCCACCACCACCACCACCACAACGGCAACTTCTGGCGCTGTAATTGAATGCATGACTGATCGCCTCCAGAAATTGAGCCTCTAAATTACACTGCTTATATAGTTGAAGTCCGACCCACATTTCAAGAACGTAAAGAGATGGTGTAGAACAAGTGGTGGAGTCTTAATCTCCCTTTGCTTGTTGAGAGAGACAGAGGGAGCCCATTTCGCCATGTTGGTAATGATAAAGAGTTTTTTTATTAATAAACAAATAAAACAAGAAGAAGATGATGATGAAAAAAGTACAGTGATCGTTGGATTCGTTGGTGCGATTAGGCCAAGAAGTGGGTCTTTGCAGTTGCGTCCAAGGTGAACCTCGTTTTTTGTGTGATCTTCCCTTGCACGGAACAATTTCAATTCATAATTCTGAAGTTCAATGAATTAAGTAGTCTCTGTCTCTCCCTATTTGCATGTTTTGATTTTTTAAGATCTATCCTTTTCAATCTTTAACTTATAAATAAATAAAATATATATTATATATTAATTACTCCGTAGATAAAATATTATTTTGAAAATATTTGATATAATAAATCTAAAAAAACTATTTTGGTATCAATCTATAGTACTCCCTCCGTCCGGAAATGTTTTTCCCATTTGACTTTTTACGATCTCCAAGATTGCACTTTGACCAATAATATCTTTATTTATACATGGATGTATTTTATAAAAACTAAATATTTGAAAACTATATTTCAAAATGAATATATTTATATTAAAGTTATATCGTAATACAATATATTTTTTCCACATATCATAGTCAAAGTTTACAAATTTTGACCAAGAAAAGTCAAATGGGAAGTATATTTCCGGACAGAGGGAGTATAATTTTTATTTAATTTAAAGTCAAAATTTACCAATTTTGGCCAAAAAATAGTAAAAATAGACAAATACTCAAGGACGGATGGAGTAGTAATTTTCATTCATATTTTTAAAATGTTCTTCGATTACATACAAAGCCATGGATTTGTCAAGGAATCGATTCATTGTGGTTGTGACCTTGGAAATATTTACATCCCCTTTACGTGCTGGTGTAAACTTTTTCGAACCTTGCACGTGAAGCCTTGAATTTTTAAAAATTATGTGGCGCTAAGTTAGTTCTTTGACATGGTATCAAAGCCTTGTTGACAAAAAGGTCACGAAATCGAAACTCACTATCACCCTTTTTTTAAAAAAAATAAAATTTCATGTGTGGCGGCAGAATATTGATGCTCCTGTACGGAGATGCAAGAGGCTTATGCTAATAGGTGGAAATAGGGGAAGATGTATACCTAAGAAGACCTGGAAGGAAGTGATTAGGAAGGACCTAGTCTTCTTGCCCTTACTGAGGATGTGACTTTAGATATGAGTATTTGGAGAGATAGAATTAGATTATTGGGTAGGCGTTTTAAGCTAAGAGGAGCTTTATGTTCTTTGTTTGTAGTACTTTTCCTTTGTTACCTTTAGTTCATTTTTTGTCTCTCTGTGTTTTACACTTTATCTATGTTTTCTTTAATTTACTTTATGTATCTCCTGCCAATTTTTTTATTTATGCATCCGAGCCGGAGGTCTCTTGAATTGGAAACAACCTCTTTACTTTCAATTAGGGGCAATGTCCGACTTTATATGCAAGTGGTTGATTTTACTGATACTCTGTCTCTTGTTTTGGCCCACTGAAATTTTAACAAAGTTTATATTCATACTTTTTAAAATCATTGATTTTTTTATATTAGTTTTGATGTATTTGTATAATCGGTAGTTTTTTTATTTATATAAAAGAATTTGTGATATTAAAGAAACAAAAACATATGATCATGAAATTAAGAGCAAATTTATTAATAAATATAACAACCGAACCAAATAAAAAGAAAAAATATATTTAAAAAAATTGGGGTTAGAAAAACAACAGAAAAGATTATTTAGGTCATTAGCATTTTGCACTCTGATCTCAAAATAAAATAAATGATCAAAATGCACTCCCGTTTATTTTAAAAAAAGTTAAATTGCACTTTTGAAAGTTTAATATTGTTTCATTTGCATCTTCTTTCTATTTTTAACTTAAAAGTAAATATAACTCTTAAAGATAAAAATCTTTTTTTAGTATAACCAAAATTTGCTACTTACTCTTTGTTTTTTGATTTTTTTTATGTTTTAATTTTTTAAAGGAAAAAATCAGTTTGCCTCTTAAATTCAGATTCGACCAAAATTATATATTTTAAAATCTAAAATTTGAATATAAATTTAGGCTAAATTGACTTTAGGCTAAGAATTTAAATTTAGGCTAATTCACAATAGAGCTTTAATGCAAAAACATTACATCTTTCTAATTTGAAATTCAAAAATTGAATTTCAAAAAGTCACGTGATAAATCACTGCAATATTTTGTGTTTACAACTTGTGTACTCTCATCCCATCTTCATCAGTGTATGGCTTATCCTAAAACCTAAATTATAGGAGCAAAACCCATCAAGCAGATAATTATAATTCCCCACGGCCCCAAAATCTTGATGCATCACCAGAACAAAAGGCAAATAAGGGGTTACAATATGGCATCAAATCAATTAGAGAGCACATACAGTGCTCGTTCGTAAATTAATGGTCCTATTCTCGACCATAATGTTTCTTTAATTTTTGTTGACTTTGAAATTAAATTTGATTCTAAAATCAACAAAATTTAGAAGTGTAATTAGAGAAAGTACACTAAGACCGGACCAAGGGATCGATTTACCTTTGCTTTATAATTCATTAATTTTATGAATAGAATAGGATAAGTATCTGATTTTATATTAAAGGATGTCATAAAAATTTGGATTAGACACTCTCAAATCTCAATCAAGCCACAAACAAAACAAAATAGACCAAATAAATGCCGTATCCGGTATCCCTTTGACATTGGCTCAATCTTATGGCATCACCCTTGACACATTGTTTTAATCTTTTATCTTTTTATTATTATAAAACAAATATTGATACGAATATTTTATTTTATCAATTAAGCAATAAAAACACAGAAATAAAAGTTGATATTATTTAGATAGTGCAAATTATAATCAATTGTGGGACAGAGAGAATATATACTATGTCCAGCTCTACTAACGTACTCATATCGATCTTGACTTTATGGAGTTTAAAAATAATACAAAACTATTGAAAAGTAAAAAAAGAACACCTAGAATTTATTTAGAATGAGAGAAAATTTTTGGACAACGTATTCTTCCCAAGAAAGAAAGATTAAAGAAATAATTTTGAGATAAATAAAAAAAGCAGATAAATTTACAAAATACAGGAAGCATCAAAGACGAAAATTTCGATAAAGCCTTGTTTGGAGATTAGTTGTTTACGATTGGCTATTGGCTGTTTGTGTTGGCTGATTTGAATGGTTGTTTGAATTAGCAGTGGCTTTAACCGGCTGATTGTTTTGATTATTAAAGAACGCTTGTTTGGCAAATTCAGTCACCATAAACAGCTGTTGATAGTGAAAAGTACACTTTTAGACATCCCTCCATATACGTCAAAATTAATTTGTTACTGTAATGAATTTAAATTTTTAAAGTTTGATAAAAGATTTTTCATAGACATCCCTCCATAGACATCCCTCCATATACGTCAAGATTTTTCATCCCGAATAGATGCTCGATTCAAGCAATTTGAGACTTTGTTTATGTGTACTTGTGCACTCGACAAACTTACTAATTTGCTAGAAATTGTTCTATAGGGAGAAATTGAGCATGACGAAGGAGTTTGTACACTTTTCGATCACATAGATGAAATTATCAAGAATCTCCGGTCATTTTGCCCTATTGGAGGTCAGACAAATTATGATTTTGACTTACATGCATTTGACATTGAAATCTCTTGTGCGGTACAGGATTTGGTTCGTGGCCCCTCAATTTTGCCAATTTTGATTCCTTTAGAGTTACAAAATTTCAGAATAAACATGATGAATGCCATCCGAAACCTTATCAATGCCCTGCTTTCTCCACCAAATTTGGCTCATATGGTCACCATACAAAATACTGAGTCTCATGAAAAGGAGTCAAAGGATGACTCAAGCGTCGAATCATATGTTGGGGATAACATGAACAGTGAGCCTGAACTCATAAATGCAGATGACGAGGGGCCCGGAGATAACATGGAGAGTGGGCCTGAACTCTTAAATGTAGATGACGAGGGGTCCAACATCATGGGGAAAAAGAAAGAGTTTGCACTTTTAGAAGGTGTGGACAAGGTGACAGATGAAGATTGTATCCACGCCGATAACCCAATTTTGTTGGACACCATCGCGTTGTTCAACATTGTTGGTATTGTCAAGTCTGAGCACTTGGGTTCAAAGAAAATAGTTCAATACAAGTTTGGCCATCCATCTTCTTTCTACCACTATACTTCATCTGCGAAGCTTCTTGAAGATTGGTCTACAACTGGACATCTTTTTTGGTTCCGCACGTTCTCACATGTCCAAAAGCTTGAGTGGGAACCCCCACCTTGAGGACAAGGTGGTTTTTAAGGGGGCGAGAATGATATGATAATAGATTAGTTATATTATTTATTAATTAGTAGTTATTTAATATTTAATAGTTAATGTTGTTGAAGGTTTTAGTATGGGCCCGAGCCCATTAGGTCAATTATGGTTAGCTTTAGGGTTTCTCTATCTCTTATAAATAGCAATGTAATCCTTTTATTCAATCATTCAATAAAACGAAATATCAAAACCCTAATCTCCCTCTCTATTCTTTTGGAGTCCGGAAACGCTCGAAGTTTTCCATCTTTCTCTACCTCATCTTCTTGGAGCTTGAAGAACGCTCGAAATTCTTCCCCACCCGATACGATATTCGTATCAGCTACCAACGGTTAATTAGCGGAATTGTTTGTTTTGCGTCACAAAATGAAAGTTGAGATTATTTTTAATGAGTTTTTGTTAGATCCTATACTATCACTTCGTTTACTTTAATTTTTGTTTTATTTGTAATCACTTGGGGTTAGTTTTTATTGATCTTTTTATTTCATTAATTTTGTATTGTTTAAGTTGCTTTTCTCATTTTCATTTTATATATATATATATATATATATATATATATATATATATATATATATATATATAATACGGTTTTCAAATGTAAGACTAATTTCTAAAAAAGAAAAAGAAATGATGGAGGTAGAAGGTCATTTTAAAAATTTAAGAGTTTTTTCTTCAAAAGTAAAAATAAAAATAAAAAAATTAAAAAAAAATTCCAACTTTCATATTATTGCGGAAAACAAGTTCTGTTAACCAGTTATTAACAACTTAACGGTGATTCAAAACTCGTAAATTTCAGTAAAGTTAAAATTATTATGCACCACATGAAAGGTTAGAGTATTTTTGAAACATCGGGTAAAATTGAGGTTATTTTGAGTAATTTTTCCATTGATTTTTCAATACTCGGTGGAATTATAAAAGTTTGCGATGGTTGTTTTCTCTTGGCATTTGAAATAATTAAAATAAAAATTATAAAATATCTTTCAAGAAAAATGACTTTTAAAAAATAATTTTTTCTAGCAGCTAAGTCCAAATGCTACTCCCCTTTGCATTTCAGATTTTGGCTTTTCGGATCAAAATGCCAAGTTAAAAAGCCATTAGCCAGACAATAGTTTTGGCTGTTCGCTCGGTCAAAAAAACTCAAAGTCAGTCAAACATGCCAAAAATTATCCAAAAAGCCGTTTTCCAAACACGACCAATGTATTAATTTATATTATACGAAAAAGACGATAAATCGAGAAAGGATGTAAATTGGCTTTTAGTCAATCACATATTGCTAGCAAAAAGTAGGGTCATATTTTCATTGATAATTTGAATTGGATGTTATTGTCACTATTTTGACCTTTCGCTAACTTCTGTTTATATATTTTTATTGATAATTTGATAAAATAAAATCTTTTTGCCAGCTCTTTTTTTATAAAATTTTTCATTTACTTTTAAACTGGATAATTTATACTCCCTCCGTCCCAGTGTGTTTGTCCAGTTTGACTTTTTTGAGTCAAACTGGACAAACTTTGAGCTTCAATTAAATAAAAATCATAATGTATTTTAACATAAAAATAACTTTATTGGATTTATCGTATTGAGAACTTTCAAAATTGTATTTTCATTGTGCTAATATGCAATATATATTAAGAGTAATTAGAGTTCATAGTTTGTTCAGTTTGACTCAAAAAAGTCAAACTGGACAAATACACTGGGACGGAGGTAGTATTTTTTAATTCTATACTAGTTTGTAGGGAGAAATACGAAAATAGCACTTTAATAGCCTTATAATACTCAAAATAGCAGTGCTATTAGTTTTTGGGAAGAATTCCCGTTTTTGTCCTTATATAAACTCCCAAAATTAGAATTATACTGCAATGTATACTCTTCACTGCCACATTATAAATAAGTATGAAATGTTCTGCTCTTCACTGCCACAATATGTTTGAGATTGAATTTAGTGCCATAACAGATAAAACACGGCCAAAAAGAGAGCAGAATTCATTTTAAGTCGTGACCTTTTATTTTTTATGGTAATTATACACTGCAATATATACTCTCTACACTGCCACAATATGTAATTCCAAAAATTCAATGTCTGAAATACACTGCCAACAATATATATACACTACCAAAAATTCAATGTCTGAAATACACTGCCACAATATATATATACACTGCCACAATAAATCTACAATGCCACAAAACACAATAATTAAAACTAAAAATACAGCGAAATCCAAATAAAAGGATGCAAGACAAAATTTTAACATTTAATCTTCACACTGCCCACACCATAACACCTAATGTTCACAATGCCTTTCAAAAGACCTAATTTTTCAAAAGGGACAAATACTTGGTATTTCAAAATTGATTTCACAACACCTAATCTTCAATACGAAAAAACATAATATTTAATACTAAAAATATAGGGAATTCCGAATAAAAGGATGAAGGAATAAAAACTAAAAATTGAAGGAGAAGAGAAAATGATTAGCGACATCATAGATTAGCATGGGTTGATGATTGCCGCTGCTGATCGGCCAAGGAATCGTGGGCGAAGGACTAAGGACGCATCATCGCCGGCGAACAGAAGGAGAGACCGTGGAGTTCAATAGCGTGCGGGAGAACGGAAGGAGAGATTAGAGTTGAATGTCGTAATTTTTAATGAAAAAAACAGAAAAAGGGGTAAAGGGTATGATAGGAAAGGATTGACACCATAAATTACTAAGTTTGTTAAAAACAATGAGTAGTGCTAAATGCGTAATTTAGGGTGAGTTAGAGTGCTACGTAGGGTGATTTCTTTTGTAAGTAAAGTAATTTAAACAATATATTGTTGGGAGTGTGACATATAATATGGAATATTGGATGGGATGAAGTATTTTTTTAGATAATACTTGAGTAGATTGTTTCGGTGGGGTTCCCATGATATTGGAATCTCATGTCATGGAATGATCCAGGAGTGTTCTAGTGTCTCATTCGTAAAATTGAAAATTCCTACTTTCCTAACCTCCCCAGTAAATCTCCCGACTCTGCACAGACCTGAACACACCCCACATAATCCATTCAATTGCACACCACAAGTGAATTTTGATTTTAGAATCAAAATTAACTTGTGGGGTACAATTGAAGTGGGTAGAGGGTGTGTTCGGATCGGGACATGGTGGAGAGATTTATCGAGAGGTTAGGAGATAAGAATCGTTAATTTTACAAACAAGACACCAGATCACTGCAGAATTATTCGAGTCAAAATTAATTTGTGGGATGCAATTTAAAGGGGTAGGGGATGTGTTAGGGTCAAAGTAGGGTGAGGGGATTTATCATAAAATCAGGAAAATAAGAAGCGTCAATTTTACAAGTAAGCCACCGGAGCACCGCGAGATCATTCCATGACATTGCTAGACAATGTCATGAAAATGGTTCCCACTTTGTTTTCAAAGGAAAAAAAATCTTGGGAAGGGAGCGGTATAGGCAATGTCTCTTGTGACCAACAAGATTGGATGAAGAGACCGATTTACTGCGGAGAACACTCAATCAAACACTCTGAAACCTCATCACAAGCTTCTACAGTTGTGAAACAGTCCTGTGCGACTTCTTTCTCTTGTCATTTTGTCAATCAACTTTCAACTCCCATCCCCTAATATGAATTTTTTTATACGGTATTTTTTGTCTTTCTTTTATTGTCAATCAATTTTTTATATCTTTTGTCATTCTTTATGTATGAATTTTTTTGAACATAAATATACAAATATTTTATCTTATGTTTGTATTAAATTTTTCACATTCTTCATATCAAAATAAAAAAGTTATATAAAAAATTTACTAAAATTTATATTTCCTTTATGAAAATTTTTCATTTTTAAAATATTTGTTTCTTTTATAAACATTTTTCTTTTTATAAATACTCACTTCGTCCCAGTGTATTTGAAAAGAAAAAGTCAAACTGGACAAGTACACCGGAATAGAGGTAGAAAATAATTAAAATAATATTAGTATCATGATGTGGATATGTATAATATCCATCCGTCCTACAAAACTTTTCTAGTTTTCACTTTTAAAGAATTTAAAGGAATTATATTTTGGTATTGACTTTCCAAAAATACTCTTGGATGTGATGCGTTAAAGTAAATGTAATGGGAAGATTAATATTGAAAAAGTATGACGTGATAAATAAGTTAAGAAATACTCTGTAATAGGGGTAAAAGTGACTTTTTAATAGAAATGAGATACTCTCTCCGTCCCTAAATATTTGTCATACTTCTATTACCGAGGTAAAATATCAAGTTTATTCAATTCATTTTATTTACATATTGGTATAGAAATAAAAAATAAAATTTACATATTCCGTATAAAAAAATTACATGAAAAGTTCTTTGAAATAAATAAGAGGTGTCAAGAATATTTTATTTTATGAAATAACCAATGAAAACTAGAAATAAATAAAAAGTTCCCGCGAGTGCTGAAAAAGCAAGTTTGGAAAATATTTTGAGACGGAGGGAGTATATTTTTTGCAAGGGTGGCCCGGAGGCTGTACAAAGTGGCCAACCGCATAGGGCCCCATATTTTTAATTTCATCTTTAATTCTAAAGCATAGGTATTCTAAAATAATAAATAGGTTAAGAAATACTCCGTAATGGTAATAGTGACCTTTTAATAGAAATGAGATACTCCCTCCGTTCTCAAAAACACTTCCTCTTTCATTTTTTCCACTTCCAACAAAACACTTTCTCTTTCTATTAAAAACCACTTTTACCCTTACTTTTCCATACCCTACCTATCACATCATACTTTTTCTCTAATAATCTATCCATCACATCTTACTTTTATCCATCACATCAGGGGCAAAATTGGAAATCAACTATAATTTAACACTTCCTTATTTTTGCCCCCAAATCAAATGGGAAGGGTTTTTTCAAACGGAAGGAGTATATTTTTTGAGACACGTAAAAAAAAGAAGAAAAGACTTGTGTGACGGAAAGAGTATATCATACTCCGTAACAAAATCTGAATTTTAATAGAATCTTCCCTTATATTGCTTATTATTACTTGGTATATATTTAAAAATATTACGGAGTATAATTTAAATATAAAGCAATTGCATGTAGAGACATAAAGCAATTGCATATAAGTTATTAGTGTGAGTTTAGACTTTTCTATTAAAATATTCCTTATATACTTGCTCTTTATTAAAATATTTCATATGTACACCAAATTTGTACAACTTAGGGTTTGTTTGGGAATAGCGTTAGAGATTAGCGTTAGCGTTTTGGATAAAATTTAAATGGTGCAGGTTACTTTAAAAACGCTAACGCTAAACGCTGCCCGTAGATAGCCTTTTCAACGCTAACGCTAATCGCTAACGCTATTCTCAAACAGGCCTTTAATCATCATGTATTATTGATACAAAACATTGGGGTTATGCGTGTGTATGATACGTATGACGTACAATTTGGATAAACACATAGGATATCCGTCGGGCACTTCCTAGTTTTTATCCCCATTATCAAAAAAAATTGATAAAGATTTGCAATGATCACACCTACATTTGATGTGCTCGACAAGAGTATACGTCTACAATCGGGTGTTTTTTAAAATTACTCTAAGTTTGGATAAAACTAAAACGATAGAAATAAAAATGAGGAAAATGTGTAAAAAAAAAACCAAAATTATATAAAATTAATGAAATAATCCCTATTTTAAAAAATGAGGAAAATGTGTTAAAAATGAACATTAATATACTACTACTACTTATTTTTTGGAAAAATTGGCTAAAATAATCCCTATTTTATTCACTTTTTCAACAAAAAATGTAGTACATTAATATACTCCATATAGTGCTTAAAATGTTTGAACCATCCACGCATTATATTTCTATTTATTTACCAGTTTAAATTTAACTTCTATTAATTACCTTATTTGTTTCATTAATTTTATATGATTTCAATTATTTTTCTCATGTTATTATTTTTATATCTATTTCTTCTGGTATGACTTTAGAAAAAAAGGGAAATGGAGGAGGAAATTCATTATGAAAGTTTAAATGAAAATTTTAAATATTAATCTCAATTTTCATTTTGTTGCACAAAGCAAACCGTCCCCGTTAATCCATCGTTTGTAACTTGACGGAGACACAAAATTCACAAATTTTAGTAAAATTGGGAGTAGTTATGTATTGGAATCAAACATAAGAATATTTTTTAAGGACTAAATAAAGTCAGGATTGTCTTAGATAATTTTTCGGTTTTTAAAAATATTTTAGACTCTTACTTTTATCTTATTAAAATAGAACTATGACGTCATTTAGGGTAAAGAAATAAAATTCAAATCCACATTTACAAAGATGAAATTGAGGACGAAAAAGATGATGAATTGAGAGAGGGTGTAAATTAGCTTTTAGTTAATCACATATTGCTAGCAAAAAGTGAAGCCATATTTTCATTGATAATTTGAATTAGATGTTATTGTCACTATTTTGACTTTTCGCTAACTTTTGTTTATATATTTTTATTGATAATTTGATAAAATAAAATATTTTTTATTAGTTCTTGTTTTATAGAATTTTTCATTAATTTAAAACTAGATAATTTATAATTTTTAATTATATACGGAGTAGTAATTTGTAAGTAAAGTAATTTAGAAAATATATTGTTGGGAGTGTGACATATAATTTGAAATATTGATGGAATAAAGTACTCCTAAGCTGAGTAAATTTGTCCGCATATATCCTAAGCTGACCTGCGCTGTGCTATTTGTCTGCTGCTCTGCATGTCCTCGGCCCGCAGATCCTCCTCATATGTCCAACTCACTCATCTATCGGCCAGGGTGAAGTGCAGAGGGCCGTACATACTTAAATTACAGGTCTAGAATTTGTATCACTAATAAATTAGGTGTAGCTTAGTTTGTATAGGGTATAGCGTGTGAGTTGGTTTATAACCTAACTTTTTGCAAGGACCTTGCTACCCTTACACCAAAAAATATACCCCATTTGTACATCATAGGTTTGCACAAACATTTTGATAGTTTACACCGACACAAGTATTGGTGCGTTAATAAAAATTCACACGGACACAAATGTTGGTGCGTTTAACAAAAATTAGTTTTACACCAACACAGAATGTTGATGCAAACTGCGGAGTACAAATTGAGGTATAAATCTTGGAGGACACATAGCATAATCCTTTCTGCAAACTTCACTCGTATTGGAGTCTTCTTCTATTTTTTTGTATCAAAACCCTTTTGAATGTTTTTCCTAATTTATATTTTATCTACCTTTTTACTCATGAATTTTTTTATATATTCTCATGGAAAAGTGTTTTTGTTTATATTGGAACAAATAAAGAAATATATCCCTTCATTCCTTAAAAAAATGTTCTACTACGTAATTGATAATTTTTTGTTCTTGTATTTGTAGATTACTTATTTTTATTTATTTGAAAAAATGACACCACTCATTATTTTTGGGTCCGCCACTGGTGAAGTGAGGCGTCGCTCATATTTTGTTCAATTTGTGATTCAATATATAGCTTGTCCGGCCGGTTTGTTACTTTAAAAAAAACTTAAGGCCTGTTAGCTGCCATATGTTCTCGTTCGGCTATCCACGCTGGAAGTCCCATCCAGTCGATATATATAATACTCCACCTAGACCTGGCAAAAAGTGACTCGACCTGTTTTTGACCCGAAACCTGACCTGAAAACACTGAGTTTTGAACAAAGGTTTTCATGACCGAACTTGAAGTTGACCGAACCCGAAATGACCCGCTAAAAATGGGTCAAACCCGACCGAACCCGAACCCGACCTGACCGACCCGCTAAAGTAAGATTTTTTTCAAAATTATACACTTTTTTACTTGTTTTTAGTGTGTAAATTTATATTTTCAGACAAAATTTTAATGATATTGCATAATTATCTTACTTTTTCCAAAACTTAAACATTTTTAAATTCCTTATATTGATTTATATATCTAAAAACTACTTTAGGGGCTGTTTGTTTCAGCCTCTTAATGGTTCAGATGTCTGAATGGTCCAGCACTTAATGGTTCAGACTGTTTGTTTCAGCCTCTTAATGGTTCAGATGTCTGAATGGTTAAGAGATTTGCTTCTGAATGGTTAAGTATTATACAGAGTCTGAATGGTTAAGACCTCTTATCTGAATTGATCAGACATTTGCCTTTGAATAGTTAAGCAATATAATAGCTCTTAATGGTTCAGACCTCTTACTGGTTCAGCACTTAATGGTTCAGACCTCTTACTGGTTCAGCACTTACCCATTCAGAAGTTGCCAAACAGCCCCTTAGAGTTTAAAATAATACTATAATTTTATAGATTTAGTACCTTTTTTTATATTTTAAATTTATTTAATAGAAAATGTAAGTGTTAATGTGAATTTAAAAATTAAAAAAACCAAAGTCATAACCCATTGGGTTGACTCGAACCCGATGACACTGGATCATGAACATACAGTTTTCAACCAAAACCCGAAATAACCCGAACCCGAAATAACCCGAACTTGAAGTGACTGAACCCGAACCCGACCTGACCGACCGATTTGCCAACTCTAAGTCTCCACCCGTTTTACAAAACTTTCTAATTTTAACTTTTCAAGAATTTAAAGGAATTGAATTTTGGTATTGACTTTCCAAAAATATTCTTGGATGTGATGAATTAAAGTAGATGTAATGAGTAGATTAATATTGAAAAAGTATGATGTGATAAATAAGTTAAGAAATACTTCCTCCGTCCCCCTATATTTGTCCACTTTCATTTTTACACACCATCCAATGTACTTCTTTAATCCATTTTATCTTATAATTTGTATATTAAAAAATTATAAAAATTATATATTAATAATCTATATGTTAAGACAAATCAAACAAGATCACACATGACTATATTTAGGCTTACACATTGAGAGAATTTGATAAGTCAAAGTGCTTAGATGAACAGTTCCAAAAGTCAAATGTGGACAAATACAGGGGGACGGAGGGAGTACTCCGTAATAGGGTACTAGTGACTTTTTAATAGAAATGAAATATATTTTTTGAGACAGATAAAAAAAGAAAGAAGAAAAGATGTGTGGGACGGAAAGAGTATGTCATAACAAAATCTGAAATTTAATAGAATCTTCCCTTATATTGCTAATTATTACTTGGTATATATTTAAAAATAGAGGAATTTACCTAAATAACACTAAAATATAATGACTTTCTCTAAATAGAACCACATGTGTTTTTCTTTCCAATGTATCATATTTATTTATTATGCATTAGTCATTATTCAAGTAAATATTCACCATCACTAGACATTATGGACATTACTAAGTGCTAATCGTATTTAGGTAATAAAACATTTTAAGTGCTATTTAGAGAAATGACTTAAGTTTTAGTGCTATTTAGTGCAAATATTTCTTAAAAATATTTCTTAAAAATACTATACTTTAAATGTAAAGCAATTATAGAGAAACATAAAGCATTTGCATATAAGTTATTAGTGTGATTTTAGACTTTTCTATTAAGATATTCCTTATATTTCATATGTACACCAAATTTGTACAACTTAATCATCATATATTATTGATAAGCGTGTGTATGATACATATGACGTACAATTTGGATAAACACATAGGATATCCGTTGGGCACTTCTTAGTTTCTATCCCTGTTATCAAAAAAAAAAAGATTGATAAAGCTAAGATTAGCAATAATGATCACAATTACATTTGATGTGCTCGACAAGAGCATACGTCTCCTCGCGCGTGGGGCCTATTCATCGATTCGAATCTTCGTGATATTCGAATCTTCGTGATATTCGAAGATTTTTGCCTGCATTCGAATTGCTGGACGAGTTGTACGTGATATTAGCAGCAAATATGTGCCACTTACTTCTTTAAGTTCACATAAGAGAGCAGGGGCTCGTTTGGAATTTTTTTTTGCCTCGGTTAAACACAAATGACCACTCATATGATTCCAGTCCAACCTTCTCATTTCTACTCTATTATTATCTCTGTTTCTCAAAAGAGTTCCTCTTTTGACTTTGAGGAAAAATAAGGAAGTGTTAAATTGTAGTTGACTTTCCAATTTTGCCCTTGATGTGATGGATAAAAGTAAGATGTGATAGTTTAGTTGTTAGTGAAAAAGTATAATGTGATAGGTAGGGTATGAAAAAGTAGGGATAAAAGTGGTTTTTTAATAGAAAGGGAAAGTGTTTTAAGAAAAACAAAAAAAATGATAGAGGAAGAGTTTTAATAAACGGAAGGAGTATTTTTTTTGGTGGAAATTGTTTCATATTTTTATTGCAAGATGAGATTAATATCCAACAATTTTCGTTTGGTCTCTCGTGAGGCTTTTCCATCCATTGTGGCTCGGATAAAAGGTGGCTATTGAGATCAATTGGCTACTCGTCTCTATAATAATAAAAATGGAATTAAAATTTAACACATATTCACCATTCATCACATTCCTTTATACTCATCATAATATATATTTTCATCACTTCACATCGTACATCTTTATATTCCGTCAAGCCCTGCATCAAGCACGTCAAAGAATCTCGGGAAAGGAAACATGAGAAGGGAAATGATATGTGTACATCAAAAGTTGTACCCCACTTTATACTCCGATCCAAAGACATATACCAACATTTTGCGTTAGTGTGGTGCTAGTGTGATGCTCTATAATGACCCAAAATATTATTGCAATTTTTTTAATTGAATCAACGTTTTTTGTCAATGTGTATCATTATAAAAATACTAGTGTATTTCTTTGAGATACACTTCTAAGTATACCACTAGTATGGTTGAACATGAGAATAGGCAGGGGAGCACGCAAAAGAGCGTGAAAGGAACACGGGAGTAGGGATGACAATCCATCCTCGAGGGCTCTTTAGCACCGGCAAACATGGGACTATGAGAGTAGACATGTAGGGGTGGGTAAAAAGTTCCGGTTTAGATAAAAAATATTTGTATTATCTCTTATTTTATACTTCCTCCGTTCCACAAAACCCTTCTGGTTTTGACTTTAAGGAAAGTAAGGAAAGTGTAATTTCGGTTTTGAGTTCAAAGCTTCAAACTCAGCGATGGGTTTAGGAAAGGAATGCGAGAGAAGAGAGGAAGCTTAATTGAGGATAGAGAGGAATGTGAATTTACAAATTTTTACACGTTTTTAACGAAAATAATAACAAAGGACCATTTGTGAAAAAAAATTTAATAATTGAGGACTAAATTATTTATATTTGATATATAGGGACTAAATATGTAAAACAAACTATAACTCTTTATTAAAAGACTTCGGACTAGAAAATAATAAGAGAAAAAAGTTATTAAAAGACTTGGGACTCGTATTTTGGTGGTCTCATAACTGTTTATTTTTATCTAGGAAGATTTCTTAAATTTGAACTAGAAAATAGTAAGAAAAAAAAGTGTTTATATTTACTATTATTATATTAACACATGCCACTTACATTATCCTTTGGGAAAAAATTAAGTATATTTAATTAAACTAAAATATTTTTATTATTGTTCATCACAAAAAAAAATTGAAAATTAGTAAAAAAAAATCAAAAAATAATACTAGCTAGAAGTATTATTTTTATAAAAGACATTTAATCAAACTTAAAAATTTAAAATAACTCTCTCTGTCCTAAAAAATAGTTTACATTTGACTTTCATGGTCTCCTATATGACACATTTATCATAAATATATCTATATTTACACACTAATAATTTGTTTTATAAAATATGATATTTAGAAATTACATTCATAGAAAACTCAAATGATATCAAATTTATATAATTATTCTACTTATTCTCTTCCATTTTCAATTTCATGATGAATTTTTTTTTACTTTTGACAAAAAAAAAGCTCAAATAAAATCATTTTTTTAAACGAAAGGAGAACCAATTTAAAAGAAGTGATGTGAAGTGCTTGGTTATATGAGTCCACATGGCATCAATTCATTGGAGGGGGCATCCGTACCCTCCCAGGAGCCAAGGCACGGAAGAAAAATGCTTGGATATAAAGAGGAGTAGTCCAACTATTTTCTTGAGATTCCATCAAATGGTTTGAATTCCTCCGGCAAATCTCACATCTTCCTCCTTCCATCCATCCGCTCGCCGCGCTTCAATCGGAAGCTCGTTCCGTTCCTTCAACCTCGGCGCCGACGGGGGGCGAATTCAGGAAAAATCGCCGCCATGCAACTTCCATTCGACGGCGGGAGGTCCGCCAGGGCGGCGGAGAAGCCGAATTTCGCGCAGACTTGCAATCTCCTCAGCCAGTTTCTCAAAGGGAAGGGAAATCTCAGAGATCTAGGGCTGGAGATTCGCGGCAAATTGGAAGCTCCAGGTACTAAACCCCTCAATTTTCATTATTACTGTATTTATAGTTTTTATTGGCAAATTCTGATTTAATTACTACAGATCTGAGGCGCATATAGAATTCCAGATATCTGTGTTAAATGAGCTCGCTTTAATTTTGGTTACTTTGGGGAGAAGTTTAATTTTGGTTAAACAGTTTAATTGAATGCATGTTTATGTGCTACATCTTGTCATTTAATCATATTCTTCTTCTAGAGGTACAATCTATAGAACATACCCTGTTCAAGTAAGATTTAATTCATATTCTTGTTTAATTACTCAAACAAGATGAGATCATAATAAGTTTGGAATTTATTAAAAACATTTCGACTAGATAATATAAAATTCATACCAGATTATATCGGTCCAAAATCAGATCTAGCTATTATGGCCACTGGATTATCACGTTTAAATGTAGTTTTAAATTGCTATATGAAAGAACAAAAAAAATCAATTTATCGCTCCAAAATTGAAGAACACCAAAGAATCTGCCCCTGATCCCTAAATCTTGCATTTTGTAAAATT